ACAATTCAGTAAGCATCTCCTCAAAGAATGGTGTCTTTTCTTGTGTTGGAGGTAATTCTGAATTTGATGTGGATGGAAAGTGATATGAAGATAAATGGTACTGTGATAAAGCAAAATGTTGTTATGGTGGAACATAGTGTGGCACTTAAGGGACTTGTAATGGTGGAGAATATTGAAGTAGTGGAGGGTTTTCTGGAAGTGAATGCATAATAGGATAAGTCGGGGGTGTACTGAGGTGGTGAACTAAAGGAATGCCCTAAACTAATGTGCCACATATTCTTAGGGTAACCCTCCCAAGTGTGAGTAGTATAGATGTTTGTGTAAGATTGTAATTGTTGGGCATATGGACACCTAGCACTATGATAATCTCCACCATACACTTGAAAATTATCATGTTGGCTAGAAAAAGTTATGCACAAGATTAGGCTTACGATCATACCTAGCTTTAATGGCCTTTAGTTGATTTTCTAGAAAGTTATTTTTTGGATAAATCTTTAAGGGCTGACTCTCTTTTGGCTTGGCTTTCCTCGCCGGGCCATTGTCCTAGGTGGTTGTCAAAATAATAAGGTCTAACATGGTCTACATGATGCTCAACTACCTCATAAAGATTGGGATCCCACATGTGAAAAAAAAAATCTTAAACCAAAACCTATGCAAAGAAGGTTAGTTTGTAAATAACCTAAGGAAACAAAAACAAGGCAAGTTAGTAAATATCCTAACAAAAGTACACTAAGGGGAAGAGCATGCTGAAGGATGATATTAGCTTAAGACTATTGACTTCTAATACCTGATAATGATGCCAACAACTTTATTAAGGTATTGTGCAAGAGCATAGGCCATTTAGGTAATAATAGTAATCGAAAGGTCAAGATGTTGATCCCATGAGGATTTGGTAAAGAAATTCATACACTAAGTACTTATTATCCGCATACCCTATTTAAAGTTGGTTCAATCAAAGAGTAAACGTGAAAACTAAGTACTAAGAAAATAAAATCGAATAAAGCATCAATATGTAAAATAAGCAACATGAACCAAACAAGAAATACATGAGAATTGAACCAAACAAGATATAAATGGTAACAATACAATAACCTAATCTAAGTGAAAACATGTTTGAAGTGAGAATTAACGAAATAAAGACACCAAATGCAAATACCATGCTAAAATCAACACTAATGTGCAAAATTGGAAAATTGAAATTTAACTACTAAATTCTAGATCTAAGTTGGAGCAAATTGAATGAACTTGCATGAAATATTATAAAACTGTGAATTATCTTAGGTTAAAACAAGATTCAAGTGCAAATTATGAAAGAAAAGTGCAAGATCTACCCAGAAGAAGAAAAACCGAAAATTCAAGCAAAACTGTAAACCACAACTTCAAGTTGAAATTCTACATCTACATCATGTAAAATCAAATGAACATGAACTGAAAATTGAAATAACATTGAAGGAACAACGTGAGAAACTAAATTCAAGAATAAGAATTTAAAGGAATTACAAAAATTGACAAGTAAAAGTGCAAAACAAAAACTGATTTTAGCTCAATAACTGCCAATTCAATGGAGAAAAAGTTAGATTTGGAAATTTATAGAGAGAATGAACAAGAACTGAGCTAAGGTATGATTCACTAACAAGTTTACAACAATATTCAGTAAGAAAATTGCATCACATAAGAGGAAGTCCAGCTAATTGAACTAGAAATTCAAACGGCAAATAAATGTGGAAAAAACAGTGTATGTGGATCCTAACAGCAAGTAAATTCATGAAAAGAAATGCAACCAATTGAAAACTAACAAGTAAACATGTAAATCTAAGAGTGTGAAGTGAAAAAGAACCAAACCAAAAGCCAAGAAGGAGCTATGGTGTCACTTATGCAAAGAGCTCCCATTGGTTCAACTGACCTCAACCCTGCCTATAAATACCCCATTCAGTTGCCATTTGAAGGGAGATTTGATTAGAGAGTAGAAATTAGCATAGGAGTAGGAATAGTGTAGAGTAGATTTATTTTCCAGCATTTTCCTCCTTACCAAATAGTTTTGTTGTTTAATTTTCTATATTTAAAGTTATTTTAAGCTTACATTTACATTTCTTAATATGTTAATTCAATTTACATGCATTACATTTCTTTAAGCAAATCCTTTTAATTCAAGCATTACATTTCAAGATGTTCTACAATTTTCAACTCACTGTTTAGCTATTGTTTCATTAGAGATCATCAGCCATTTTGTCTTATTTTACTTCAAGCTTTTATTTAGTTGTTCATGTACTAATTAGCTAGTTCCACAAGAAATTTGGAATTTAAATTCGTTAATTTGAGCTTCCAATTTGAAAATTGTCCAACTCTATTTTGAGTTAGCAACTCTCTGTTTTCCAGATTCCGTTAAGCTTCGGGTTTTGTTAATTTTCAAATGCCATTCAGTTTTTTATTTTGTGTCAAGTTTTTTCCACTTGTTCATCTATGCGTCAAATTTTCCTACACAAAATTTGAGAGCCAAACACATTGTATTTTGAGCTGGATCTAAAAAGGAATGAGCTGTACTCCAGATTCTATTTTCTGTATTCATATTTGGTTGTAACTATTGTTTCTTATGCTTTTCAAATGCATTTTAGTTTCCATTGGTGTTGAACTTTTACATATACGTTCCTTTTTTAGTTAGCTAAGTTTATATGAAATTTGAAGTTCAAATTCTAAGATGTGCTAGTGCAAATCATGAATCAAAGAAATGTTGTCCAGATTTTGATTTTCATTTGTCATGTGCGGCTTTATTATGTTTCTATTGATTTTCTTGGCTTTTGTTGCTAATTGACAATGGTTAATGATTCCTTGTAGGTAGTGACAGTGCTTATGAGATATTATCTAACTTGAATCAAGTCAATTTTATTGTTTTCAATTTTAATTCATTACATGTTTGCTTAATTTCCTGTTTTAGTTTTTCGTTACTTGTACTTTCATTTTCTCTACTTAATTTACTATTTAAATTTCAAATACTTTTACATCTGCATCTTAGCTTAGTTCAATTTCTATTGCATTGTAATATTGTTAGTTCAATTTCAATTCTCATTCATTCGATATAGTCATGATATTCAATTTCGGTACTTATTCAAAATATCATCGCAGTCCTTGAAAGACAATACTTAGATTGAATACTTTCATTTTATTATTTGATCGTATCGTATACTTTTGATTTTTTATATCAAAATTGTCCATTTAATTTTTTATTAATTATCTAATTCTAGAATACTTATCACACGTAAGAAATTAAGCCCAAATATTATAAAATATCCAACCTAATACAAATACAGCCTATCTATCCATATATCAAACACATTTTCATGCAAATAAGACTCTAATCCTAATGTCAAAAATTAAACACCAAACAAATATCCAGCCCACAGTGGCCTAGTCAGATGTCAACCTTTAAATCTGTTTGGGATTCTTTTAATATAAAGTAGTATAGCTTTCATTAAAAAAACAAATAATAATTTTTCTAATGTGGCAAATGAGGTGTACATATTTATATAATGAATATTATTATTATATTTTGTGTAAAATATACTACTGATAACTAAACCATGGTCATATTTTTAAAATGGTCATTTAATAATTAAAATTTTTGATTTAGTCATCAAAATTTGAGTATGTGTTCATTCTTATCACCTAGACATTTGTCTTTAATAGTGAACTGATATGGCAATATGTCATATTTTTAAAATGATCACTTAACAACTAAAATTTTTAATTTAGTCACCAAAATTTAAGTTTTTTTATCATCTAGGCATTAGTCTCTAATAGTGTATTAATATAGCAATCTCGCGTCAGCTATTAGGTGCCACATGACATTGCCACTTCATTTAACATGGCATTACTAATATAGCATTATGAATTTTGCAAAGCATAAATTTTGTTGATGTGGCAACACCACGTAACCTTTGACAATCTTTAGAGTGTTGAAAATATTGACTCAAATCTCAAAAAATTTGGTAAGAGATAAGTTTAAGATTTTTTAAAATTGGTTATATATTACTTTATAGATAATAAGACTTGTAAAAGAATAATTTCAAGAAAAAATGAATTCTTAATTGAAAAATAATTGGCTTATAAATATTGAAAATCTCAATAAGATTAGGTATAAGAAAAATGTGTGAGAGAGTTGTAAGATTTTATTGTGAAAGACACCTCATAAGATTAGAGGAGATTGAGAGAGTTTTTATGGGTGTGTATAAATATTTGATGTGTAAATTCTCTATAGGACTAAAAAAGATTGGAAAGGTTCATAGGTATAATGATTGTTATGCTTTAGAGTGGAATAAAGGTGATAAAGGTTCTATATATGTATATGTGAATATTTGTTTGGGTTAAAAATATTCGTAAGATTAGAGGAGAATGTCTATAAGAATTGATTACGAGTAATTGTTTGATTGTTAATGATTTTCTTTCATTCATGAACACAAGCAAGTTGTGTGTTGAATTACATTAAATTATTATTTTTTATATATAAATGAATTATGATTAGATTATGTTTTCACTTATGTTAATGATCAATTGATTACAATCTTTTTGTTTAATATAAAGACTAACGGTTGATTGACAAAAATACTTATTCAAATTTTGGTGATTACATAGAAAAATTTAACGGTTAGATAGTCATTTTAAAGATATGGCCATATTTGAGTAACAAATGATATATTTTAATTTGTGTTTCTTTATTCAAAATTAATTCTAGATGTCCAAACAACATATTCTATTTCCATAAGATAGAAAATTCTTTTTTCTATAAATGCAAATCAAAATTCAAAATAAAAAATAAAAGCATAATCATAAATTTCAATCAAAATAATAAAAAAAATACGGCAAATTTCAATTTTTACATGGAATAATAACAAATTCGCCCTATGATCCAAAATTTAGTATCCATTTTATTCACATAATAACTAAAAAAAAATCTACGCTTCATATTTCAGCCTTCTAAATTAACACCCTCATGTAAAAGCCCGCATAGAAATGTTCATCCCCAAAATTTTCAATAAAAGTATAATAATATAATCATAAATTTCAATCAAAATAATAAAATAAAACGGTAAATTCCAAATTTTACCCGTAGTATAAATGGTATAATAACAAATTTGCCCTTCGATCCAAATATTAATGCCCATTTTCTTCACATAAGAACTTCAAATTTCAGCCTTGTAAATTAACAATCTCATGTAAAAGCCCGCATAGAAATGTTCATCCCAAAAAGCCACAACAAGGTAGCAAAGCTGGAATAAAACAAAAAAGAAAAAACTTGCAGAAACATACACGCAATCCAAGAGTTTAATTTGAAATAACTACACCTTGTCCACAAAAGGCATTTGCCTTACTAATTCAGAACAAATAAAAATAATTGCCAATGGTTTTCAACTAAAACGTGTCATTTCACTCTAAGTTTCTGAGAAGATCCTTACAATAACAAAAAACAAATGAGCAACAATTAGCGGCCTTAGCCAGGAGTGAGCAATGCGATTAGAAGCGCTCAAATCTGCAGTATCTGGTCTCATCCCCAGTGTTCCCGTTGATCCAGAAATGCTTGCATTTTTCACTGTTTTGCTGCATTACAAAATAAATGTACCAAATCAATTCAATAAGTAGCTATTGATGTTTTAAAACATTCAACGGCAGAAAAAGGAGAATGGAAATTCGTTGATGGTTATTCCAAAACAGAAATGAACAATTTTCAAAATCCAAATTGATACTGAAAGCATTACCTGGAAGGAAACTTGCAATCACCATGGCCTGCAACAAAACATAAACAAATTAAGCAATGCATTAACAAATGAAAGGGTTTTATGATTGTTAATGGCAACTCTGAACTCACTAGGGTTTAAGGAAGTGAGAGCGGCAGTGTTGGAGAAGGAGCAAGCGTCGTCAGTCAAACCGTGCTTCAAGTAGTAGTCGTTGAAGGCATACGACGCCGTTTTCTGGATATCTGAGAGGTCATAACAGGGTCCACCTTTCTGGATCCGGCTGCAGTCCGCTCCGCCTGGGCCGCACGCCCAGTCCAGCGCTCCCTGCAGCGCCGCGTCCTCCGCGTTGTTCTTTGCGACGCACCAAAGCTCCGTGACCACCGTTCCGCCGCCTTGCTGGGCCATTGACCGTGGCAGCAGCACGAAAATGAGATACACAATTAGAGGAAAGAAGAGACTGTGCGACATGTTATGCAGGAAACAGGAGGTGGATGCTTTGACAAGAGTATTGTTTTGTATAATATTTAATAAGGTAAATGTAGGAGATTAATGGAACAACGACCGTTGGGACATTTAGGGGTTTGAGGAAGTGAGAGATCTAGGGGAAAAAAACTATTGCAAAGAAGCGATGAAAGCCAAAGGGTGATTTGGCAGATATGAGTGAGAGTGAAACGAGACATGTGAAAGAGTAAAGTTTTGAACGAGGATCTGTTCCCTTTTGTGGTTTGTCTAGTAGCGGTTACCTATCCTTTTCAGTTTTTCTATGAAAATTTTTTTGAAGGGTTAAATACAAAAATAGTTTATTTAGGTACATTTTTTGTATCAGTCTAGTTTTTAAGAAAATAAAAAGTTTTGTATTCAAATTTTTATTCTATCAAATATTTTAATACTTTAATCTAACAATTTTAGTCAAATTACTTATTAATACCTAATAAAATTATAACAAATATCATAAATTTTTAGTCATTATCTAATTATTTATTTTCATTTTAATATTTAAATAAAAAATTAAAAAAAAATTTAAAATATCTTTTTAATTCCAAATTAAACAATAATAATAAAAGGGAAAGAATCAAGGAAAGATAAAAAAAAATATTTTGCTAATGTGATAATAGCTGACTGATTACACTAGAAATTTAATATTTTCAAACTCATTTTTAGTGTAAGTTTCTTTATATTTTAGCTTGTTCCTTATAAATTCTTGACAAAAATACTCTTAAATGCACATTTATCTCATGTATAAGTAAAAATAGAGAAAATAAGAAATTTTGAATAATTTGGACACATTTTGGAGGACTTATAGTGAAAAAGATTAGTGAAGTCCAAACTAATGTCATTAAGATACATTGCATTTTGAGAGAGTTTTCTTGATCCTAGCTTCTATAATTTTTTTAGCATTATTTTCATAATTTTTCTAATGATTTGTATGTTAAATTTGTTCATGTAATGACTTGCATTTTGCAACAAAAATAAAAGCATTAATTCATCCATGTGGCGCCATAAGGAAAACAAGGAAAGGCTATATTGACGTGAGTGGAATCAAGCTTCAAATGATTCATATGTTTTGCGCCATTTCTTGGCATTCAAAAGAGGCAATGAAGAGTTGCTAACATAGCATTTTGGAGAGCTCTTATTAGCCATAAAATGGACTTTTTGGCCGCAAAAGTCAAGAGAGAAAGGTGTGCAACTAACTACCAACCTTGAAGCCATGTAATAAGAAGAAAAGAAGGATCTAGATGACCCCTCAATCTTAAATATTTTGGAGAGATTTTAAGGGGTTGAAGGCAGCATTCACCTACATATAAATAGGAGGAAAGCCAGCCATTTTGAAAAATTTTAGCTTAGATTTTAGCTTAAACTTTACATTTTTTGTTTCTTTAATTTTTGCATTTTACTTTTCTGCATTTCATTTTCTTACATTTTTTTACTTGTCAAACAGCCTTTAATTCTAGTTTTTCCAATTTATTCTTGTTGAATTTTCACTTTCCTGATGTGTTTTTCAATTTTTTTTTTAAGACTTTTATAATGAAACTTGCAAATTCTTACATTTTCTTACTCAAATTCCTTTAATTTCTCATTGATCTCAATTTTGTTTTAAAATTCATGCACCTAACTGTTTTATAGTTTTTTAATCAAAACTCCTTGATTTCTTACTTCTTTTTGCTCCATTTTTTTTATAGTTTTATAACTCATTAGCCTACAATCTAGTAAGATTTTAGTTGTAAATTCAATCCTTACCATTCCAATTAATTTTTGCAAATCATAGTTGAAATCCTAGAGGTAGTGTAGTCCAAACATGAACACCAAGTAGATTCTTGGATTTTTTTCCTCTAGGTGATTTCTTTGCTTGTCTTAAACCTTGTACTTTTAGATTTACATGTTTACTTGCTCACTTGCTTACTTTCATTTTATTGCAATTTAATTCATGCATTTGATGGCTATTTGGATGAGTTTTTGTTGATAGTATTATGTTTTTCTCTGTTTTAAGTATATTTTTGCTACAATTTTTTTCTTTAATTTGTAGTAAACTTGTTGAGGAATGATATATTAGCTTAGCTCAAGTTCATTTTCATTATAAATTTCTAAATCTAATTTTTTCTCTCAACAACTTCGTGAGTTTTGGTTAACTTTCAAATTCAGTTTTAGGTTTTTTCTAGTTATTTCTTGTATTTTCTTGCACTTTTTGTTCTTCAAATTACTTTTCCTTCTAGTTCTTTAATTGATCTTTAAATTTTTAATTCATGTTAACTTGAGTTTGTATCATTTAGAGCTAGAATGGTAGTTTCAAATTTGGTTTCTAGATTTTCTTATCATTTTCAATTTTCAACTTCACACTTGAGTTTTGAGGTTTTGATTCAACTTTTGCATTTTAAATTTGTTTCTATTTTAGTTCATTCCTTATTCTTGCAATTTGATACTTAAGGCCATGGAAATTACATTAGTTTTAGGTTCATTTCTTGAGCATTGGCTTTCTAAATTTGGTGTGTTATTCTTAATTTTGGTTGTTTAAATGAGATTGGTGCCTTCATTTTTCAATCCTTATTTCAATACTATTTTATTCTTAGTTAGGCTACTGTTTTCTTTACTTTTCAAGATGTTTTGATTAATTTTTTATCATTTTTAGATTTTTTTTTGTTAAAAAGTGAAGTTAGTTAGAAGGTAGTTAAAGTTAGTTAAAATTAGTCAATTCTATTATGTTTGTTTTAGTTATTGTTTTCCTTGTTCATGATACTTGTCATTTTCACTCTTAGATTAGGTTTACATTTTAATTCATGATTCATGTCATTGCATTTTAGTTTAGCTACTATTTTTGTGCATTTTGTTATTTTACTTAGTTTACTAATGCATGGCTTTATTTGATTTATTTTCTTAGATTAGCTTAATTTCCATGTTGATTCTTTGATCGAACCAACTTTAGAAAGGTAGGGTAATAATAGATACTTAGCCTAGGAATTTCTTTACCTAATCCATGTGAAAATGATATCTTGATCGAAAGGTCACTATTATTTCTTATATGGCTTGTGCACTTGCAAAATGACCCAATCAAGTTTTTGGCGTCATTGCTAGAGCTTAGAAGTCAAGAGTCTTAGTCTAATATCATCTTTCGCCATACTCTTCTATAGATTAGCTCACCTTTAGTGTACCTACATTAGGCTAGTCTTAGGATTGTCACAGTTTTAGATGTCCATATCTTAGCTTCATTTGTTGTTCATTTTTCTTAGATGTACATACTTAGGTTTATGTTTTCAGAATGTTCTTTCAGTCCAATGCTCTTGTGGCTCATGTATGTACTTAGTTAAGAGACATGAGTTAACCCTCGTAGATCTCGAGCTTAAGACTACCTTTAAAAGACTTAGAAGAGAGAGACAAATCGATTCTACCATCATTATGGTTGAGCAAGACACTAGAGCTCTTAGAACTATGTTGTGCCTGATCTTAATGGATGTTAACCTAGCATTAGGAGGCTAGCCATTCAAGCCAATAACTTCAAAATTAAACCTATAATTATCCAAATGTTACAACAGTCAGTACAATTTAGAAGTCATATGAATGAAGACTCGAATGCTCATCTTTAAGAGTTTTTGAAGATATGTGATACATTCAAATATAATGATTTTACTAAGGATACCATTATGTTTAGATTCTAACCATTTTTCCTTAGAAATAGACCTAAAAGTTAATGAGCCTTGATGCCACTATATTCCATTATTACTTGGGATGATTTAGTTAAAAAGTTCATGGCTAAGTGTTTTCCTTTGGCCAAGATAGCCAAGCTTAAAAATAAGATTACAACATTTACCCAACATGAATCAGAGACTTGTATGAAGCATGGAAAAAATACAAAAAGCTCCTAAAGAGGTGTCTACATCATGAACTACCGAAATGGCTAAAGATTAAGATTTTTTATAATATGTTGATATCGAATACTAATATCATCCTAGATATTATAGCAGCAGGTGTCCAGATGAATAATACCTTAGACAGTTTATATGATATAATAGAGTGTATGGCCATCAATAACTATTAGCAGTCAAATGATAAACAACATCCTAGGAAAACTTCAAGGGTGTATGAGCTTAATAGGTTTACAACATTAAGTACTAAGGTAGAGTTTCTAGCCAAATTTTTAGAGTCTTTGAATCTTAAGGTCACATCCTCTTAGTCGAGTCCTAGTCATTCTAGGTTCACTAATAGTCCTATAGTTTTGTGTGACATATGTGGGGTAGGTCACCTAAGGGAGTCTTATCCTAGTCTAGAGAGTATCCATTATTTAGGATAGATCCTTAGGCAACCTAATAACCTTTATGCTTCCGCATATAGCCTAAGTTGAAAGAATAACCTTGTCTTAATCCAGTCCATTCAAGCATTATAACAGACCTAATACATTAGACCACCTCATTTTTTAGTTTCTAATAACCATCATATTAGCAACAGCAGCACCCACACCCAGAGCATTATACACCTCCATATCCACTAATGCTACTTTTTGAAAAAAAAAAACTTTTAACCAAAGATCTTGTAAGTTCTCTTATTAGAGCTGAGACTTTTATCATATAAACCATAACACTATGTTCTAGAACTAAGCTGCATCCATTAAGAACCTAAAGACATATATAGGTTAGTTAGCTACATTCTTTAGTACCCAACCTCATGGGACCTTACCAGATAACACGAAGGTAAACACTAAGAGGGAAGGGAAGAAGCAGTGCAAAGCCATTACACATTTAAATAGGAGACAGGTAACTAGTGGCCCGATCCAGGTAGGTTCCAAAAATATAGTAATAGAGAAGTTTGATGGGGATAAACTTGAGGGAGATCTAGTTTAAGAAAGGGATAAGGGTAAGAAGGTGGATGAAAGTGTCATACCTACCTAGTTACTTCAAACACCTGCACATTGTGCTATACCCAGTTCATTTAGGCTTGCTCTTTCTAGAGTCAAGTCATCTAGGCCTTATATTCCTTTCCCTCAGAGGTTTGAGAAATAGAGGAAAGAGAAGTAATTCTTCAAATTCTTAAAGGTGTTTAAGAAGTTACATGTCAACTTCATTTTTATGAATGCATTAGAGCAGATGCCTACTTATGCCAAATTTATGAAAAACATTATCTCTCGAAAGAAGAGACTTGAGGATTATAAAATAGTTTATTAACCATTAAGTATACATCTTTAATTTAAAGAAGCTATTTACAAAATTGAAAGATCTTATTGGTTTTACTATCCTATGCA